GCAGTTTTTATTGTATTTTGCAAATCGAATTAATATTTTTGACCTCGAGATTACTGATATATTTGAGTATTGAACGTTTTCAAACTTAAGCTTGTTACTCTGAAATCTGACGTTGATAGCAAACATCTTAATTTCGCATGAAGTTTATTAGATGATAGTAGCTGCTTGAAATTGGAACAAGGGCAAGTATATACCAAATTTGTCATATAATTTTATCGGAAAATTTTGTGATATGCCAATATGAATCTCGCATCTGCATCTCTTTTCTTGACTTTTTGCACTTAATAGCTTTGTGGTGAGATTAAATATTAACAGAAATATTTCTATGCTGATGATTCGCCAGTAAATATGTCCTTTAAAGTCCAGTTAATTTTAGATAGCGACAATAAGCTTTACCGTTTGAAGTTAGATCGAACACCTAATTTTATTGTTGCGAGTTGAAATAATTTTGATAGAGCTGAATTACAGATAAGCGCAACCCGATGTGAATTTATTGAAGTATAAGAAAATTTGTAGAATCCCTAGTAGGTTTAGAGAGACAATAAGTTATTATTACTGAGTTAACTACCGAGAGCGAAGGACTGATCGGGATGAGTCACAAGAACGTACTGTCTGGTGAAAAACGTGGAAACGACGAGACTCAGCAATTGCCGATATGTCCTTCTCGAGAGTTATTATAACAGGGTCAATTCGGTACGTGAGTAATACGATAGGAAAGACTAGTTAGAGTTCTCTAAACGATATACCGCTTTTACAACCTTTTATAGTTTTCATTTCGGAATGCCTTTTGTAAAGAGGAAGGGACCATTCTTTTCACCACGTTTACCACAAGCCAGGAACTGTGCCGTGGGGACTGTTGCATATTACGTGTAGGATTTGAAAGTAAAAATGATTTTTTCACTGCATGGACTAATAATAATCGAGGAATCTCACCGATCAAACCCTACTCAAATCCGTCAGTTTTCGTTATTTGTATGCACGAAATACCAACGTACGGTTCTGCAACATCGTTTTGGAATTGCGAGTTAATTTATTGAGGGTTAAAAAGAGGAACCCAAGCGAGGTAAGCCTGTGGATAGACCTTCATAAAAATTTACCAAAGTTAAATAAAGGGATTATGTCGTAAAAACGGTATATTGTTAGGAGAACTCTACCTTATAAACGAAAAACCTTCAATAAGACGTGCGAATTGCCTGATATTGTGGGAAAGTACGCATCTAGTTATTTGGGTTCCCTCGGTGAGTAACTTGGTGTCGACGACGATGCAATGGTTTATTGGTTTCTTTAGAGTATTAATTCTAAAATGAGTCTGTAACAAAATATTGGCACACACTGAAACTAAATATAAAATATAATATGACACATAGTCTAATCGCGAGCATTACATGGCAGCGTTTTCCCACAAAGCTGACTGAGGATCTAAGCCTCTTGTCGGACGCTTCTAAGAAATACTGCTTGAAATTAAATAATTAATTTAAATTAATTAAATTAATATTTCCAGCATTGGTAAGAATTTGGGTCTGGTAATGGACTACTAGTTGGGATTTACAAAACATATAGACAATTCTATTAAAAGAAGCCTCAAGCGTAATTTTATTTATTTTATTTCTTATTTTTAAAAGGTAATCAATATGGAAGTACATATGTATTAATGTTAAATGTTAAACTAAAAGTTGTCATACGAAAGCTTGGTTCTGTCACAGTATATGGTTCGTGACGTTGCCTTTGATGGGATGAAAAGCATTCAGCTTCGACAACCACTAGGTTCGGTTTATTTGTGGGATAACAAAATACTACAGAGGCGTTCATTGCCCAGCTCTTTATACTAAAATTTATGGACGAACCACCCTTGCGTAGAACGGCACAGCTGTTTCACTTGACAAAAATTTTGAAATATTGCCATTATATTAAAAAATTAGAAAAATAAATTAAATTCAAAATTCACAAAAATTCTTTTGTTATTCTTTTAATTAATTTATTAATAATTTATTTTATTTATATAGATAACATTAAAGAACTAACTACAGCAATAAATACTATTAATGATTTGCATCCCAAATGGATATTTAAAGCTTTAGATAAGTTGAAAGGAAGGCATCAACTCTGTATTCAGAAAAATGGACAATGTTTTCCGCATTTAGTGCAATATTCCTAATCAATAAACTAGTGTTGATATATTTAATATATTCGCTTGCCCTCTATTTCATTTTTGACATTTTTTATATACAACAATAATTCGAATTTTTTGTCAATTCAAAACATTTCTTTTTATTTTGCTATTTTTGAACAAAAGTAATATTGAAGACAGAGAGGGGGCAACATTTATAATCACCAGTTTTATGTTATTTTGCTTAATAATTAGTTTTTTCTCTAAGCGAAGTACCTATCAAACGTACATACTTTGCCAATATTTCAGACACTCGAGATAGAAACTTAATTAAAATAAGCAGCACTAGAACATGTTAAATTTTAATAAAGTCAGTTGAAGTACAATTTCCCACGTATTTGTTCTTTTAAGAGGATATAATAATTTATCAAAAAAACAGCGAGACTTGAATATATCACGCGGGAAAAGCATCATAATAGAGAGTTTGGTAGATTTAAAATAGGCAAGTCGGCACCTACTTCCGGTATAATTTTCGAAGTTAGTTTCCTAAATTCTAAGTATTTTATCTAAATAAAATACGAAATTTTGTAGGCCGTCCTAAGAATAGCATCTCATTTATGAGTTACCGAAACAGAAAGTATATTAAACTCGCTAAATGGACCTTGAGACTGATATTATTGCTCGCTTCTAGCGCAAAGCAACAAATTCCAAAGGTCCACAACCCAAACCCAGAAAACCTTCATAAGAAACACGCGTCTTTGTTAACAAAGAGGCAAATAAGTAATAAATATCCTTTTCGTCTGGTTCTAAACTGATATTTTCGGTAACGAAATCTCCAAAGACCAAGAAATCACTTGAAGAGATATGATTTTCCACGTAGGCATATAAATATTTAAATGTAAAAATTAGTCAAAAAATTAAAATTAACTGGGATTGACTTAAATGGGACGTTTCATTTCGAGTACCTAATTGGTATCCGTGTGCTTTTTTATTTTAACTAAATTATTAACTACACTCTCCGCAATAAGTTCGGCCAATCTACAGTCATATGGTTTATAACTTTTTCATAATTCCATTTATTTTAATTCTGTTTTTGTTATTTTAATAACAATTTTTTTTCGTTTTGAACAGTTTGCAAACTGTTGCTGTAATCTTTTTACATATCACGAATCTTTTGTTTTGGAATTTTACCAATATCTCTTTATATGAGATGTAAATTTTTAAATCAAACGCTGCATGTTTTGGTTAGTTTCTACGTTCCACATTAAAGATATACATGAGTAGCGAATATATGGATGAAGTTGGATTGCCAAGTAGCCCGGATTTCGACCCCATTGAGAATATTTGGAATGATCTTAAAACAGCAATACGTTGTCGCCCTGTGCAGCCACAAACTTTGCAGGACTTACGTCTGGTCTTGATGAAAGAAGATCATATTAAGTTATTCTTCAATTCCCTCCAATCTTATTAACACGATGCCAAGAAGCTATGATTGATGCCAGAGATTACAATATACGCTACGCTACATTGTAACATGTTGCTCGGTTACAAATTTCCTTTGCTAGGATAAGGAAACCCGAACTTCACTCTTCTATTTGTGATATATAGAATGAAAAAAAATCTTCCTATCAATTTTTCGTTTATGTAAAAAAATAAAAAAAAAAGAGTCTGGAAACGGAACGTTGCGTCACAAATCCCCATTATCATATTTCGTTGAATTCGCCCTAAAACGCACTTTCCGAATTTCTATCAAAAACCATATAATTCAGAAAACTAAATCAATACAAGAAACTTTTAAAACTTTTTTGTAGATCTTACCATTTTTCATTATCCCACAAAAAGTACATGTATTAATAAACGGACAAATTTTCTAAACCTTCAATCGGCTTGATTGAAAATTTCATGGTACCGAAGAAAAATATGCCAATTTGGACGCAAACTTGCTTTTATTATAGGTATAAGGCAACAACGATATTAGGGAAACAGAAGCTCCTAGAAATTTGCAAAAATAATCAAGTAAGTCCATCAAGAGGAAATGCTGAAAATAACTTTTGAGTTTCTGAAATAGTCACCAGGGGGCGTACTTGTTATCTTTAATTTTAAAACTCGGTTTAAAAAAAATTTGATGTTAAAAATAGTTACGGTTAAAGCTGTAAATACAATGGTGTCGAGCGTTTTCTTAAAATTACTTAATATTTGATGCGCTTCTCAGGAATTGTCAAAAATGCAATAAACATAAATCATAACCTTTTATTTGAATCTAAATATCATTTAGCATTAGCAAATTCGAGGCATCTGGACTGTAATAACAACCCGCAAATTGAAAATTTTTCTTAAAATTCAACTTTTTTTTTTTTAATGTTAAGTTCTTTTATTCATATTTTAGGTTAGGATAAAGATAATGACGCTTTTAAATTGCTTAAAACACTTATAACGTTGGATTAGTTCTTTTTCTATATAATTATTTTTTTATTTTTTACAAAACTTCTGGAAAGTTTCTTTGAAAAATTATTTTTTTGTGATTATGTTAGAAAATTCACCAAAACCACCACGAAAATCCAATTTCCCTAATACAGCACCTCGTCGCCCTTACTGCGACACCGGTTTATAATTTGCATGGGTTTTCAGTTGCCTTTCAGGGTAGTTGCTAAAAACACTTTGCCCTTTGAAAATAAAAAAACAGAATTCCAGCCCTCCATTTAAGAAATATTTCACTGTTTTAAACAAAAACTAAAAAAAATAATTAATTTCTTGCTTAAAATTATGTATTTAAGTATTATACAAAACTAACCCGAAATACATCGAGGAACGAAAAATCCATTTAAAATATCATCGCATTAATAAATGGTCCTCGCTTATATAAACGAAGTAATTTCCAGAACGGTTCTACGTCCCATTCTCCATAAATGTCTAGCTGCCGCTCACCGTGAATCAACCTGTATACAATAATTAAGTTGATTCACCGTGTACGTATGTACCTACTGCTACACATTATCAGTGGACTAATTTAAACGTTTGAAAAATGTTTATGCTGTCCTTAGAATTTCGCGATAACGCTAGATGCCTATAGGTGTAGATAAGAAAATATCATTTAATGCAAAAATCAGCAAACTATTCATTTTTTTTTATTTGTTTAAACGCGAAGATATTACTGATAAGCATTGTACAGGACAGGACCTGTAACATAACGGATTAGTTTTCAACAAGGAACATAATAATAATAATAAGTGGCGGTCCCGAGGTGCCCCAGTTGGCTTTCTCACTTTGTTTCAACTAGTCTTGGGTGAGATCCTGTTCTTCTGTTTTCTATCTTCTTGGCTTACCTTAGCCAAGTCTTGTTTTCTTTCGACCCCAATGCTATTAGGTTTCCGAGGGCTAGGGGTCTCTCTTTTCACAGCTATTTTTCTGGAAGCAGCTCTTAACAAAAAAAAAAAACCTTTTTTTTCTATGGACGGACAAACGAAGAGTACTACGTTTACGGAGCAGGGGAGGGAGACCCCAGTTCCGGTCGGTGTGGTGGCTACACGGGCAGACTCCCCCTTCCCCCCTTCGACCGTCAGCCAGCGACTGTCCAGCGTCTGCGGTGGCGCACCAGGCAGAGGTGCAGGAAGCAGCTACTGGTCATCCATTTTCTCAGACCGGTGAAAAAGCTAACTTCTTTGGAAAAAGAGACAGGAGAACAAGTGCAAGTAAATTGGAGGCCGGAAAGGAGAAACAAGGAAAGAAGGAAGTGTCATTGGTACACGACGTAGGTGACCCAGAAAATTGGCATATCATCGGGGATCCATTTGCAAAGAGAAGCTCACTCGCCAGAAGCCCTATATTTAATAAAAAAGAAGTTAATACCATGGTCCAGTGAAATGATGACGACGATGTATTTAAACAGAATACCAAAAGGAAACGGGAAGATACTCGCACTTCAAAACTGAGTATGTAAAACAATAGCTGTGGACATTTAGAAAAAAAAGACCTTATGAAGTTATTAAGTTATTGCTCAGAATTAAAATAACTTATGAAACTAATAATCAATGTAACCCCTAAACTAAAAAATAAAAAACACTATTAAGGATATCCATTTTCATGTACAAAAGATTATAAGGAAATATAAAGAACAAGAAGAGTATCTCAGAGAATCACTGGATGAAACAAACGCACAAAATAAAACGGTAGATGCTGGAGTACAAGTACATTTTAAAACTGAAATGGCGAGCAAAGGAGTACAAGTAAGTGTAGGCTATAACAACAGAGAAACAGATCAAATAATAACAACCCTAGGATATAGCAACAAATTTGAAGATTTTTCAGGACTATTGGATCAAAACTGGCCAGAAAAAGTGTATAAGAGCACAACTGTAGAAACAGGAAACCCTACGAAAAACAACTACACGGACGATATGACGCTAGTAGTGGACCACACTGAAAGAGGCGAAAAAGGACTCGCAAAAGCAATAATAAATTAAGATCCTGAAATCGAAGAAATACTCAAAGAAATTAAACGCGGAAACATAGAATATGTTACAAATATTACAAAAGCCACCACAAGTCGTGGGATCGACGTGGAAAGACGAAGGTACGTCTATATTCTTCCATACCATATCCAAAATGAAGGGGTAAATGACACGAAGGAGTTCTGTAAACTAGCGGAAAATTTTAAGAAGCTAGTCTACGAACAGAACAGGAGTAAAATATCAATTGCATTCCCAGAGAGACAGAAAAGAAAAACCGACAGACATGGAATAAGAAACTAGGAAACGAAACTGTAACGTAAAGGCGGCTGGCAATTCATATGCCGACTTACGGAAAAAGGTAAAACCGCAACTGGACCTTAACAGAATAGAAGTAAAAATTAAAACAATTAGGAAAACTGCTAATGATGCCCTAATCTTTACCGTTAAAAAAGAGATTAAAGAAAAAATACAGGACTGCGAGGCCACAACGAGGAAAAACACTATAACGCTCTATATCAGCATCATGCAACATCCCAATCTGAAGTCACAGACGCACTAAAAATGAGTACAAACTTAGATGAGAGTAAAATTATAATTAAATCAATGAGACCCGTCAAGTACGACTAACTCACTGCAACAGTAGAAATCCCAAGAGAGCCAGCGCTTACATTCATAAAAGCGGAGACAATAAGAATAGTCTGGATTAACTGCAAAATAAATGAAAAGGTAACAGTAATCCGCTGTTTCAACTGCGTAGAACACGGCCACGTAAAACGTGACTGCAAAGCCCCAACCGGTGCATGTTTGAACTGTGGAGAGGAGGAGCATAAAGCTAAACAATATAAAATTGGACCCCACTGCACGAAATGCAATATAGAAGGACACAGAGTAGATCAAATTAGATGCCCTCATTTTAGAAAAGCTGTAGAGGAGTTAGAACCAAAAAGAATGAAATCACTAAGTGACTCGAGAAAGGGAGGGACAGCATACAAAAATGGGCCTTAAATTGCTACAGAGAAAGCTAGGGCGGGCGCGGGCAGCACATGACCTCGCCAACGCTACTATTAAAGAAAATGATATAGACATCGTTATGGTGGGTGAGCCAAATAAGAAAATCCTTGCAGGCAGGGAGTGGATCAAGGACACCAGAATGGACGTAGCAGTGCGATTTATCAACAAAAAGACAGAAGTAATAAATGTCTCGTGTAACGAAGGATAAGTGTGCTTTAAATTAAAAAACTGCTGGCTCTACTGTTGCTATGTTGCTACATCTCCCCAAACATTGCAATAGAGAGATATAAAATAGAAGTGGACAAGATAATGAATAAAGCTAAGCAAAAAGCTGAAAAATTTATTATCCTAAGTCGGCTCAATGGGGATCACTCAAAACAGACGCAAGAGGAGACTACTGGCTAGAATGGCTCTCTGCACTAAACCTCGTAATACACAACACTGGCGGTACACCCACATTCGTTAGGGGCAAAAGCGAATCATTCATAGATGTAACCTGTTCTACAACCAAAATAGCAAGAGATATAGTCCACTGGAAGGTATTAACAACCGAAAACCTAAGCGACCATCAATACATACACTTCGAATTACGTGGAGCAAAGATATCCAAAACTAGTTACGAAAAAAGAAAAATAGAAATACATTGCAAAAATTTTAGTGCACTACTGGAACTACAACTTCAATCCGAAAACGCGTCAGACAAGAACTACCAACGGACTACAGAGCTAATTAAAAGAGCCTATTCTGTCAGTTCTATTAAAAAGAGTAGAAACCAATCCTCACTGGCTCCATATTGGTGGAATGCTGAAATTGCCTGCAAAAGAGCCGAATGTATAAATCTGAGTAGAAAAATGGGCCGCATTTCGTAAAAGAAAAACAGAAATCCCGGAAAAATTATAAATGGTGCAAGAGAGAGCTGCGCAAAAACATAAATACGTCAAAGAGGAAGCACTGGCAAGAACTGTGAAATGAACTGGAAAACGACGAAACGGCCAAAAATTGTAACTAGAAGCTTGAAAACCTCCACTCCATACGAGCTAGACTTAACGAAGAAAAAAGCCCCAGTTGAGGAGTTGTTCCCGCGGATGCAACACGTGGGTCAAAAAACCAGCAGTGAGTGGTTTGAAACCTTTGACCCTAGACTACGCTGCGCTGCGAGGCTGCGCAGAGCATGAAAAATGGCAGAGCTCCAGGATTAGATGGTATTCCGCCTGAAGCAATTAAGGAGATGGTAAAAGCTGTACCAACATATATGCTAAATGTTCTGAACAAGCTGTTAAAAGATCAAATCTTTCCCGAAAAGCGGAAACTCGCAAAAATAGTTTTTATACTGAAAGGGGATAAACCTCTTGAAAGCTTATCGGCATTCAGACCTTTGCGCATGCTGAATACTATCAATAAGCTATTTGAAGTAGTCATAAGGACAAGGCTTGAGGAAGAGATCAAAAGAAATATGGGTCTTCATGCAAATCAATTTGGTTTCCGTAAAGGAAAATCAACAATTCAAGCATTAGACACGGCAATAAAAATAGCAAGAGAATGCACAAAACCGTGGTGTGTGCTTGTAAGGCTGAATGTTAAAAATGCATTTAACTCAGCAAATCATATAGGAGAACTGAAGAACAGACGCATCTCCCAGTACCTGACTAACTTGATCTCCATTTACCTGGAAAATCGCATGGTCCAAGTAGTAAAAGGTGAAAACGTCAACATAAGTGCAGGGGTCCCACAGGGATCAGTTCTAGGACAAACACTCTGGAACATAGCCTACGATGGAGTACTCAGAATGGACCTTACAGATGCCACCATATCGATTGGTTTTGCCGACGACTTGGCACTAGTGGTGACAGCTGAAAAAGAACACGTAGAAATACAAACCAATGCCTGAGACGAATCATGATGTGGATGAAATCGCATAAGCTACAGCTGACCCCGCAAAAAACAGAAATGCTCATCCTGAAAGGTAAAAGAAAGAGAGACCACATACGAATCAATCTGGGTGCGGTGGAAATAAAACCCAGCAAAACCGTAAAATATCTAAGTATCACTTTGGACGAATGGCTTAGCTTTAAAAGACATATTGAAAACACAATAGAGAAAGTCGAAGATCGGGTGGCAAGGCTAACAGGCTGATTCCAAATATAAGAGGACCTAGTAGTGGCAAGAAAATGGTGTTATGTAGAGCGGTGGAGAGTATTATCCTGTAGGGGGCACCCATATGGTATACAGCATTAATGCAAAACAAATATAAGGATATGATGTCCAGAATCCAGCGAAAAATGCTAATCAGAATGGCATCAGCAAATAGAACCGTCTCAACCGCCGCTTTACAGGTTATAACAGGGGCTATACCCATTGACCTTCTTACTCAGGAGAGACGATATGTATATGAATAACCTAAACAACAACCTAAAGCACTCAAAGATGACTGCAAGAACCAGAAGCATACAAACCTGGAAACATAGATGAGAAAATAATTATACAAAAGCCAATGGACTAAAAAACTTATAAACAACATAGAAGACTGGGTATATTGTGCTTTTCGGCACGCTGACTATTATCTAATACAAGCTATCACAGGCCATGGGTGTTTTAGGACAAACGCCAAAAAATTTGGAATGGATACAACTGACACCTGTATATATTGCAATAAAAAAGACGATGTAGAGCATACAATCTTGAAATGTGCGAGATGGAGCGTAGTACGAAACAACACTTACCAAACACTAGGTTGCATACTGGATCCTCGAAACTTAGTTCGAAAATGAGGAGCAGTGGAAAACAATACACTATATGATTAAATCCATAATAAGTCAGAAGGAGAAAGAGGAGAGAAACAGACAATATGGCAAGACAACCGGTTTAAGAATAATCTCAGAAGACTAGACAACCTACCATCTATGATGTCATGTCAAACACGGACGGCTTCATGGATGCGATGCAAGGTGTAGAAATAGAGACGTTTTAATGGGTTAGTGTCCCACATTGTTTCGCACAGATAAAATACGGCAACTCGTGCATGATGCATTTCCTCTCTTAAAATAATAATAATAGTAAATATAAATAAATACCCTCTCCAGGAAAAATCCAAGCTCATTGTACATAAATTTAAATGCCAAAGAAATTGGAAAAGATGGCAGACCGCCCTCAGGAGAAGAAGTAGTAAGATTTTGGAGTAATGTATGGAGTCAACCACAACAGTCCAATTTGGATACCAGCATAGGAAAAAGTCTCGGAGATACTATAGTGGATCAAGTGCACGCATGCAGCCCATTTCAGAACGCGATTAGAGACCCTTGGACGAAACCATCTTTCTTCACTCAAGGCATAACAAACATGAGTCCAAAATCGAACCAAACCCGGAACCAAAAGATTACAGGCGGGGGAGCATAGGAAGTAACAAGTGGATATTGATTGACTGTGTTGCTACCAAACAAGTAGTGACAAGGAAAATATCATCAGCCGCTTTGATAGACTTGATATCGGAAAGCGTATGACTGTGTTCCTCATTTGTAGATTTTGAGAGTGTTTCATACCGATAAATTGGAACCTAAAATATCAATATCTTATTATAATATTAATATCAAGGATTATGAACAGGTGGGAAACCAGTTGTAGGTAAATGAAGTCAAATATTTTACACAGAATATAAAAATATCGAGATGGATATTTCAAGGGAATAGCTTAAGCCTACTATTATTCTGCCTCCTGAGCATTATGCTGAATGCCACCAATCAAGGCTACATAATATCAAGAAATTAAAAAGTGACCCTTTATCACTTCCTATACATGGATTACTTGAAAGTATATTCCAGTAACAAAGAACAACTCCAAAGTCAAGTAGAACTAGTGGCCAAATTCACAAAGGACAATCGAATGGGATTAGGAATAGAAAACTGTGCGTTTATAGTTGCGAAAAGAGGTGAGCGCCAAGAATCTAATAATATCAGATTAATGGACAAAATGGATTTTTCAGACTGCCATTGCACGAAAGATAAAGTGGGCGCTAACCGCTGACCACAAAGCGATGAAGCAAGAGGTAGGGGAGAATCTTATGAATACGGTTGGCTCCAGCATGAAAACTTTCGTCTACGCGGGCGCCCAAATTCAAATTATTAACTCATGGGCTCTAGCTCTGGTGAACCCCCACACATTTGGTATTTTAAAATTACTTTTATATTATATTATTTTAAAACACCGCGCTCATCACCCGTCACCGTCAAACAGCAGGCTTGATTTTCCTAGAAATAAAGGTGGAAGAGATTTAGGCGACCTGGAAATGAAGCATGCGGTCCAAATAATGAAATTGTATACTTACTTCACTAACTCCAAGGCAAATCTGCACAGAGCGATAGTGGCAGCTGACAAGAACTCCTCTCCGCTGAACCTGACTTGTGCAATTCCTCCTGAAACAAAAAAGAACCTTCAAATGCTAGAAGAAGACTGGAGAAATAAACAACTACAATGAAGATACGCCGAGGCGCTGTGCACAGGGTCGTCTGAGACCTGAAACAGAGGGAGGGAAAATTACATTAGGTACATCCAGAAAAAGGAACTACCCGATGACCAGTGTAGGGTCTGTTCAGCAGGAAACTATTCAGCATCTGTCGTCTGGATGCCCAACCCTCGCCATAAGAGAGTACACGGAGCAGCACAGCAGAGTTGCAGGACTATTTCAACAAGAAATATGCAAAAATGCGATCTGAATAATACAATAGCGCTAACTAACACTACATTAAAATAATATATGCTTCATTTTGTGAATTTATGAATCTTGAATATTTGAAAATTATTTTAAAGTTTAATTTAGTCTCGTACTTAACATGATTCTCTAAAATAAAAAAAAGCAGCAATCTTAAAATCTCCCTTAAGAGTAAATTTTTTTCTTTTTCTGGAGAACTAGACAGAGCTTTTGTCGGGCAGCCTATATCATCCCCGTGGCCTAAAAAGTATCGGCGCGGCGGTAGGGGGGATGCTGGAAATAAAGATGAAAACATTGCAGGTTTTATTGCGGTATTGATTATAAAATCAATAAAATATGGTCCGGGTGCTGGGTGCGGGCGGCGCGGGGGCAGAGCGCGGGGAGGCACGAGAAGAAAACGGGGAAATTATATATATATAAATAAATATATATATATATATATATATATATATATATATATATATATATATATATATATATATATATATATATATATATATATACGGCCGATTCGCACAAACATTTATCCTACTGCGAGGGAATTAAAATGTACATGCGCCTACGACGCTATCCCGGCGCCGGGCGTCGCGGCGTCCTATGGTCCGCACATTCCTAGCTACGAACGTAATGATTTTTACGGGGGGTGGAGGGACGAGATGGTTTTTCATACGCTCGAGCATCAGTACCCTCTCATTAGCATGGGCGGCGCAGCGCACGCTTCAAAGTTAATACAATCATTTTCGATGGGCATGAAACAAACTGCTGTTTCGGATTCATCCAGTATATTAAATATGTCGGAAGAAGTATCACAGAGAAGGATCGCATGTCCTTTATTACATTTGGTAATAATACAGTTTATTTGCAATACCAAATAAAAAAACGTAATATAGAAACACTTCACATATTAAGCAAAAAAAAAATTAAAGCAATCTAAAAAAAATAGAATCAGGCCTATTCTGTTAAAGTCCTTTATTAAATTTAGTATTCATAATAAGGTTTGCTAAACAAATACGAAAAGAACATAATACACAAATACTTCAATATGCAATCATATTAAGCAAAGAATATTTAAAACAATTTAAAACATATACAGGATCAAACCTATTCTGTTTCAAGTAAGTCAACCAGTATATTAGATGTGTTCATTATTACATTACATTATACTACATTACATTATATTATTACATACAAAAATATAATATAGAAATACTTCAATTCTTTTAAGCAAAGAAGAGTTAAACAGTTTAAAAAAGGAAATAAAATCTTTTTTAAACTATTTTGTTTCTAGTGGTATAGTATATTAGATGTATCACAAGTAGTACCACAAGGAAGCATCTTAGGTCCTTTATCATAAGTAGTAATAATATAAAAGTTTATTTATCATACCAATGAAAAAAAAACATAATGTAGAAATACTTCAATCATATTATTCAGAAATGTTTTAAAACAATTTAGAAAAGATGAAATCCTACGCATTCTGTTTCTAGTTAGTAATCATAGTTTTGGTTAAAGATTCTTGCCAAGTAACAGTGATAGCTAATAATCTGTATTCTGTTTCTCCAAGTTGGCCAGAGCCAATAGAGACAATTACAGAGAGTTGTCTGGTTGCTTTCTATAATATTAGGTTTATTTAATTCACGCCACTTCTCCCTAGGGTTAGAGTTTTGAAATGTTGTTGTTTCTTTTTTTCTCATTGTCATGGTTCTGTAGTTCCTAATAATTTTAGAATAATTGTAATGCACAGATTGGATTTTTTAAATTTTTTTGGTTTCTCAGTAGCTATTGTATTTGCAAAACTATTTACGCTTGAGTTTTGAAAAGTGAGATTTTCGCATCAGTACTACTTGAATAAAGAACATTGCGCCAAGGCGCACTCTGACGGTCTTGCTTAAGCTCCTCTAGATTCTTCTTCTCTCATGCCTTATACGGTTCGAATGTTCGCGATCAGCATCGGTATTCGAACTTTATTGGCAGCACATCTGAATAGCTCGGTGGAAGTAGTACCCCATTTGCGAAGGTTTGCCAACCAGGAGATTCTCCTTCTACCCGAGCCTTTTCTTTTTTTTTAATAGGCGATATTTATTTTCATTTCTCATGACGTGTTCAAAGTTTACTCAAGTTTACGTTTTTTAATTGTGAACAAGAGCTGTGGCTGGCATCTCAGTCTCTTCAGGATTCTTCGGTAAATCCACATTTCAAAAGCATTAAATCGTTTCTCCATAGCCTCCGATATTGTCCAACTCTCCACTCCAATACAGAAGCAATGGATAGATGTAGCAGTTTACTTTTCGTTTTTTCAGCTATAAATTGAGGTCTCTATGGTGAGGTTTTTCATTGTAGTGAAAGTGCTTCGAGCTTTTTCTATGCGACATTAGATCTCCACAGAATGACCCCCTGCTTCAGACTTCGTTATTGACGAGCAGTTCTGTATATGGTGTTGGAGTTTTGCTGATCACCATGTACTTTGTCTTTCTGGTACTAAGTTCTAGACCACAGTCGTTGCTGGTAATATTTAGAGACATCACTAGTTCTTGTAATGTTGGTTATATTTTCTCCATTTATGTTTATTCTCTGCCTTACTCCCGACGAATTTTTACAGGTTCGGAGTATTTTTTCTGTATGCGCACGACTGCCTTGGTATGAATTCCTACTCGGTCCAGAGATTCCATCATTTTACCATGTTGACACCTATCGAACGCCTTAGTGTAGCCCACAAGAGTGTCTCAAGTATTTCGAGCGCATTACGAAACCCAACTGGAATATGGCTCATGGCTCATTAGACTAATTGTTCTAAAATCTTCACAGGATTCTAGATTAAGCTTTTTATTGCCATGTACACGAAATTTATCATTTGAGCAGTGCACTGAAGAATTAATGGCTTCAAATACATTAAAAAATGATCGGCAATATCCAAGTTTAAAACACCAGTCTCAGTAAAACCTCCAATATTATAATTTTTTAATAGCGATGATATGTAAAAGTTGCCAAAGTTCAATAGACTCGGAAAACTATATTTTAATGTTCGTTGTCCATAAACTGCAGATGAAATCCCAGCAATTTTTCGGCATGCCGCAAAAAAAAACACGTATCGTTAATGATTAAATAAGAGTGATGCACTTTGTACGTCAATAAAACCGAAAAAAGCTAACGTTAATTAGAAGTCAAACGTGCTTAACTAGTAGTAGCGGCAAATGCGGTACCGTATTACTTTAAATGAGATCGATAAAACATAATGATAAGATTTTAATATTTTGCGCTTAAAAAATGACTCCGAAATTTTTTATTGATTTTAAATTTGTATAAAATATACCGAAATTTATGAGGAACTCAACGTGAGAAAAGTGCCCCTTTAAGACTTGTCCTCCACACTTTTAGTTAAATGTAACATACTTTATTTTAAAATCCTTTAACTAACAAACAAGTAAAACAGAAGTCGTTTTTATCAATTATAATTTTGTGAAACAAAAGATGCCATGCTTTTGTTTTTGAGATACAAAGTAAAACTGAAAATTTAGCCATGGCAGTTACCGTTTCTATTTTAAATATCATGTATCGTATCAGTCCAGTGGCTTACTAATTTTTTTTACAAAATATGTAATTTTTAAGATAATTGAAGAAGTTGTGTTTTTTAAATATAAAAAACTATATATTTATATTTTATCATACATTTTCACATATAAAAATATGCACTGGTTTTTTACGTTAATTTTATTCCAGTTAACATATCATTATTATTATTATTATTATTATTATTAATATTTTTGTAGAACAAAAAATTAGGTATTTCTGTGAAGTGTAAGTTTTGAAATGCAAGGCAAAAGTGTATTCAGTTAATCCTTTTATAATAGTTAGGGAACATTTGAAATATTAAATAAAAAAACTACTTGTTGCCATGCCAGATTGTTAGTTCGTACCCCATATTGGATTCTAAACAAAGTCATACCCAAAAATTAAATAGCTTAGTCCAATTTGTTCTACTTAATGTTTAGTATTTCTTCATTTTTTTTATAATAATAATTATTATAATAACAATAATATGTTAACTAGAATGTAATTAGGATAGAATACAAATATATTTTGTAAAATATCGAAATATATCTTTATTTCATATATATTTAGACAATAAAACAACAAAACAAAACAACAAGTTCTTATTTTTGTGTTCTTGGACCGTTCTGTATATGTTAAAATCAAGACTTTTTTCTTGAGTATATATTATGGTCCGTTACGTAAAGCAAAGGAAGAAAGTTTCTAGTTCAAAATAAATTTATTTAACGTTTCGACCGGTGTATTCGGTATTTTTCAAAAATATCTAAAAAAATGACAGGGTTTTATACAAGGCAACGAGAACGCGAATAATAAAACTTACCCTAATTTTGCAGTCGATGTAGAAATAAAAACACTCAGATACAACACACGACGGCACCATTTAAATTGTAAAAATAGAACTGTAGATATAAAATTGTAAAACAGAAATATAAACGGTGTAAATATTGACAATAACAATTTGTATGCGCGTGTCTGCGAATCTATCGTGCGGACCGAGATATCAATTGGCATGCGAAGCAGAACTGCGAATGTACGTTTTTTTCCGGCGATATTTACTTCATTTTTTACTTTAGATTTAATTTTGTAACAGCTACCCTTATTTATTTAGTTTTTAGATTAATATTTTATATTTAAATCAGAATTGTATGGTAAATTTTACTAAGGCCTTTTGTGCCGGTTTTAAAGTTTATGGATTTTTTGTTTTTTTGAATTTCTCTTGATTCGTAGAGTTCTCTTTTTTTAGTATTAGGCTCTGTTTTCAGTATCTTTACATTTTGAAAATCGAATAAATGTTTAGTTTCAGTGTGTATGAATAGCTGTTTTGTTGGTTTTGTCAAATTTGTGTCCATTCATTCTATTTTTGATATACTGACTCGTTTGTCCAATGTACACACTATCGCAACCCGAACATGGAATTTCATGTACTATGTTACTTCTTTTTTCATATGGTATTTTTGCTTTAATTTTAGAGAAAAATTGTTTTTGCAAATTGTGACCCTTATGACCCATTTTGACGTCATGTTTCTTTAGAATACCTTAGATGGTTTCGGATAGGCCTGCAATGTATGGTAACGGTATAGATTTTGTTTTATTGTTTTAAAATTTGTGTTATGTTGAAGACCGTTGTAGAATTTATGAATTTTTTAAAAATTTTGCCTACTAGATTTTGCGGGTAACATGCATGCATGCCTGGCTTTTTCTAACGCTTCCTTTCTAAATTCAGGATCAGACAGCATAATTGCCCTATCTGCCAGACCTATTACAACAGATTTTTTTTGGGCGATGAGGTGGTTCAATTTAAAATGTAGGTACCTAGTAGATTTGCTTTCGATATTCGATGTTCAAGTTATTCCCATATAAATTTAAGTTGTTTACTAGTTTTGAATAATTTCATTTTTAAATCTCTTCTGTTAGATGTAAGTTGTTCAGAATTTTATTTAGAATCCAAAAATGCAATAACATACTGCGTATTCCATTTAAAATTTACCACGACTACATAAGACACCATCCATATTTAAAAATAGTGTTTAAAGCTGTACTAGTTACTCATAGATACTTCAAAATTTAGAATCTTAAAATAGGGTTTTATTGTGCGGACTTTAGTGTAAACAAAATCAGTTACACTAAAACGGAAACTAACTGAAACTAAACAAAACATTTAAAATTCGGAGCAAACGTGAACCTGAAGAATGGAAATTCATAAAGGCTTCTACCAAATAAAAGTACAATACTCATTTATGTAAATGATTTTGCTTAAACCAGTGGTTGAGCTCTCACAAATTTTGATATATAAACTAGACTCGTATTTTATTTTATTTAATTGGCTTTCTGTAAGCTTTTGCAACAAATAAATAGCAGCTATTTTGGCTATTAAATGGTCTCTGATAATACACCCCAAAAATATATCCACTTTCTCATAATTGTTATTTTTTGCGTTAACATAAGCCAAACAAATTATAATAATAATTACGAAATGTCATTACCGTTTGACAACTAAATTATGTTAGGAAAATGGACCCCTTTTTTCCATTTTCCGCTCATAAAATATAAAATTTATGTATGCTTTCAATTTGAAATACCTTATATGGGTCACTTATTTTTGAAAAGCTCAAAACAAGTATTTCAAACTTTTTATAAAAAAAAACAACTTCAGTGTATATATCAAAAATTTCGATACTAATAAGAAAGATAGGCCATGAAAGCATCAAAAATGGGACACACTTTACATAAAGCTATGTTTCGTTTTAAATTGTTTCGCCAGTGGAATTTTGACAAAATGTTGCTACTTTCTTGCGATACCACAATCCTCTTAGTATTTTTGTCGCAAAATTAATTATTGTCTTCTCTCTCGACTGGCTTAATAGGCAATGCGGGGAAACAAACCCCCATTTACATCTTGCAGGACGAAAGCAGAAGACAAATCAACGATAGAGGAAAATATTTGTCTCTACAAAACACGATCACAACTCATAATAATCAAGGGAGGATTCTTCCCCTTAAAGCCTTGCGCCCTTTCTCCTCTTTTCTCCCCTCGATCGGTCCCTACTGCTTCCACATTTTAATGCCAGTCGCCCAGGTAACAAAAAGCGCGGGGGTAGGTAAACAGATACTAGAAAGTATCGCGTATGATTATATACTGCTCGTCTAAGGGAAAGGTTGAAAATGTAGTATTAGAGATACATTTTATGCCATGAGAGGCTATAGCCTCTAAATCGCTTTATAAATAATTGGGACATCTTTTGGGGTATCTACTCGAAGCACATACCAACTTCATTTTTAAAATATTATATTTATTATAATATTATTACATCATAATAATATTATTACATATTTGGATTCTAAGGAAAACAGTCTAAAATATTTGTATTTATGAGCAAACTAATAGAAAAACAATGTTTTTTCATTATTTTAAAAATAGGAACATTCTATAAATTTATATATATTTTGCATGAACTAACAGAATATTAGCGAGAGTCCCCGAAAGTAAAATATAGTTTTTATGATTCCCAAATATGTCGACAAAAAATTGCCGCGTCGGGGCGTGGCGGCATATTTTGAGAAAAGCCCTTTTATCGTTGCGTTTGTTGTAGGCAGTAGTTTCGTGATATTATTGAGCATTGTGCAGTTAAAACTTTTTTTGAAATGCCAAGACTTTGTAAAAAGATTCTAGATACATTTTGGTAGATTTATGATTATTTTGTGGTCAAGAAATTTGGACGTATAATTACAACCCTGTTTAAAAAACAATACCAGGCTTATTTTAAAGTAAAAATTGGTGATCAAGTTAAAACTTGGACCTCACATGTTGTTTGTACGGTAGTGAAGAAGGTTTAAGACATTGAAATAATGGAACTAGGCAATTCCTACCTTTTGGAATACCTATGATATATATGATATATATGTGATCCTGCCAATTTTAAGAAGATACCACCAGTTTTCCTGAACCTGAAATAGATGAAGATACGTTTAGTGATGTTGGTAATATATGGAGTATTTTTCAATAGCCACAGTTATTTTCACATTTAGAACTCAAGGACTTAGTAAGAGGCTTAGGTCTACCTCAGATTCTTTTTGAAATTACTGGCCCAAGGCGTTAAAATTTCATATTTTAAGAAGCGCGAGACAGAATTTATGGACTATTTTGAAGAAAGAACTAAAGACTTTTTATTAACCCATCCAAGAGAAGCCTTAAAGCTGTTCTTTGGCGCAACGGAAATGTTGTTGCGTTTGTAACTGTTGCTCATTCTGTACAAATGAAATATGCTGCGAAAATCTGGAACCACTGTTTGAGAAAATCAAATACAAGGACTATAGTTCTATGATTTGTGGCTACTTAAAAATCGTCTGCAGTTAGGATATACGAAAGACCACTGTTTTTGTGTGAGTGAGATAGTAAAAACAGATAGCAACACTGGGTGAAAAAGTGGGATAGAAATATTTTTCATGATAGTCTTATTGATCCACAATAAAATCTTTTACCACCGTTGCATATTAAATTAGGATCTTGATGGAAACTCTCCCGCTCTCTAGGTCCTTAAATAAGGCGATTAATGGAAGATCAAGACTTTTTAAATACCATGATTGAATCTGAAATGGTTTCATTTACTGCTATTATAAAAGGTTTCCCAGGAAACAACAAATATCCAAATTACAAAAACATTGTTAGATAAATTTAGGGAAATGGGCTGAGTATAAAGCTACACTTTTTACACTCACATCTGAGTCACTTTCCTGAAAATCTTGGTGGCGTTAGTGAGGAGCAAGGTGAGAGATTCCACCAAAATATAAAATATATGGAACGCAGATATTAAGGCCGGTGTAAGGTTACTGCCACCACTACACGACGTTTTTCGGCCAAGAGGGAGAAATATTCCAAAAATAGACTTAACTATTGTCTGAGACTTTGTTAGTTAATTTAGATTTTTTAATTCGGTTTTTGTTCTTGTACTGAATAATGTTTAAATCAACCGAGATCAATTATAAATTCTTTTAATGTTGATAAAAAACCTTACGTAATAAGTATACTTATACAAATGTCATGTCGAAATCAACTTTCAAAAGTTTAAATTGTTGATACTTTTATGATGGTAAAATAGTATTACAATTTTAGTGGTGTCTACGATGTATGCAACTTCTAATTTGACAATAACAAGTTAAACGAAGTGACTCAGAAATCTAGGTTTTCACGTTCTCCGGGCTTTTTGTATACTAATGACTGTCCTAGAGAACTCTTACATACAGATTCTGAGCAATAATTTGCGGGATACTGCCTTATAATTTCTTTCAGGTGATCAATATCACGGAAGGGTCTGTGCTTGTGACTAATTTCTTCTAAAGATCAAACAAGAAAAAACGGGTGTAATGTCTAGCGACCCTGTGAGGCCAGGATACTTCTGAAAGGCATCTTTATCTCCCAAAGTCCTTTTTAGCATATTTTTTTATAGGAATGACATTTATTTGTAATTAAGAGAAACGCAATAATTACAATCGTCCCATTTATAAAAACCTTGTAAGCCCAAGAAAAGTTTTTGTCAAAGCCGCCAAGTTGTTTAAATCCGTTAACCCATTTTGAAGTTTACAAAATTGTTCGTATTCTCCCCACTACTTTCCGTAAAGAGATTGAGCAAACAGTTTTTTTTTTTTACAAAAAAGGATCCAATCTACTTCTGTTATAAAATGACGTGGATTAACCACTTATTTTGTGAAAAATTCGATAAAGGGGCAATTTTTTCATAAATTTTCCTAAGTAAGAACTTCCGAAGACACGGCGTAGCTCTTTTAATATGTATTAGGTAAATTCATCAAGAGAAAATGCTGAAAATTAGCTTGAATTTTAAAATTTGGTTTCCATAATTAAAGTGCATCTCTCCATCTCTGAAAGGAAGGTGATTGGGAGTGTTCTAACATTTTCTTAATTAAATATGCATATCAACAGAAAGACTTAA